ATTATTTTAAGTATATCACATTCCTGTGGTAATTAGAAGTTGGTATTTTGGTTGAGAACATGGACTGGAGCCAGGCCTCTTGTGTTCAATACTGACTGTCCATTACAAGCTACTTGACCTTGGTTGGGTGTTAAGCCTCTGAGCCTTACCCCTTCATCTATAAAAAAATAATAATAATAATCCTATCCTTAGAGGATTGTTGTAAGTATTAAATGCATTAAGTTATGTAATATACTTAGAACAATCCTGGAACAGAGGTAAATGTTCAATAAGTGTTAAATGTTATTACCATTATGGTACAGCACCATTGAATACCTTATAAATAGATGTTTTTTTTGCTGGAATCTCTGTGGTTAAATTTGCTGTTATTTTTATAATATTTTGCTTATGTTCCTCCACAAATTTAATTCATATTATTATAGTATTTGTTCATTTAAAATTATGCTACTTTAGCAAATTAATTTTATAACATCCCTTTCATCAGCTTTATCTGCATTTTAAAAGCTTTTCAATATATGGACATGTTCTCCAAACATGTGTTAGAATCTGAACTCTCCAAAAGTGGAAATAAGCATAAAATGTATATTCCAGAATAAATATGAAGCACTGACTTGGATTTCCTACCAATAGCATAGTGAATTAAGTTAGAAACATTAATAAGGAAAAATCTTTAATATTTCACCCTACAAACCAGTTTTGATATTGCTATCATTAAGAATTAGGACAAGCTAAAAAGGAAACACTGAAAATAGTATTGTGTTTATTTAGCAGACATAGCAAAGATTTACATGTTATTGTTTAGATTTCATTTATATATGTAATTCACATGTAATCGTATGTTTAATTACATATATTAATAGTATGGTAAATCATTTGAGGAGTCATTGTTTTGGGCTTCAGAGAGGACAGCAAGGAATATATTATGAGGAGTGTTGGCAAAGATTGGAAACTTACTATCTTTAATTAATTACTATTATTTTTAAATTTCTTTTCCCTTAGTAGATCAGCAGGATGTTCTAAAGCGTTTCTTTCATTTTAGTTTTTTCCCCTTCAGTCTGTGGGGTTTATCATACAGAAGTTTATTTTAAGAAATTAACACTTGGGGCGCCTGGGTGGCTCAGATGGTTGGGCGTCTGCCTTCAGCTCAGGTCGTGATCCCGGCGTCCTGGGATTGCGTCCCGCATCGGGCTCCCTGCTCCTTGGGAGCCTGCTTCTCCCTCTGCCTCTCTCTCTCTCTAAAAAAAAAAAAAAGAAAGAAAGAAAGAAAGAAAGAAATTAACACTTGGTAATTGTAAGGAAATGTTTTAACTTTAACATCTGTACCAGATGTGATATATTTAATTATCTTTGTTTTTAAAAAGTCTTCGTAACTTTCATTATTCTTCTGTATGCTGCATCTTTTATTGAGCATTTTAGACAGTTGATAAGCATTATTCAGTGGCATATGGTCTGAGTCTGACGTGCTTTGAAAAGAGTACAGAGTTTTCTGATAATGAGGATTCTGTGAAAATGGGAAAACCAGCACAACAGATACGCTTTGAGAAAGTATGGGTTTTTAGCATCTTGAAACAATATATCACACTCAAAGGGACAGAACTGGGCTGTACAGTCTGTTAGCTCATTCTTGTCCAGTCTGGCCTCCTCCTTTCTTTTGGAGCCAGCATTGTCATCAACTCACTGAATTATATTCTGACTGGAATGTATTTCAGGCACAGAGTAATGTATCTACTTAAATGGAATCCTGTATTTCTACAAAAGCTTTTTGAGTATAACAAATTTAAAGTATAAAAAAAATTCTATTAAGCTAAAGTAATTGGTTCAACAGTTTACATATGTGCCTCCTCCCCCATCACCCTAAAAAAAAAAAAAAAGCCACTATTTAGAGGAATATAGATCTGTTTTTCTTTTACGTATAATCTGAATAATTTTTTTTGGTTTAACTATCAGGTAGTCAGACATATTTCAAAGACTGTTGGAAAGATACCTATACATTACAACAAATGTTGGTTGAACAGAAATGAACTATGGAATTAAAACTTCCTCTATCAATGTTTTAATTATCATAATTACTCTTATTAAAATTCTACAGCAGCCTTACTTAACAAGAATTAAGCCTTAATGTCTTAAGACATCCATTGCATGTAGTAAGTGAATTTTTCTCGTAACCATCTAGAATGGTACTATCTTTGGAAAAACTAAAAAGAATGTAATTCAGATACTTTTTGTGAGGTTTAATTCTCTCACGGAATCAGGGTTGAGAGTCTACTCTGTAGTATTCAGGATTGCTGGGTCTTTTAATTTGAAATATACTGGATGGTGTAAATGAATTGAGTGTTACATTAGAGCTATATTATTTTATGTAAAGGACTAAATGTGATAATCTTTGTGAAGTGTTAAGCACAATGCCTGAAACATAATAAGTACTCAACAAATAATATGTATTACCATGTTTTAAGCTTTCATTATCCAAAGTTTCTCAAAAATTTTGCTTGTTATTACATCATGATCAAGATGAAACATTCTAAGTATGTAATTTAATCAAAGGTATATAGAATTTAATCAATAGTTTATATTTTCAAACTTAAACAGGCTGTCCTGGTAGTATCTTATGCTTAATGACTACCATTACTATAAATTTTGCTTTTTTATGATGTTCAAATAACTCAGAATTCATCCACAGTAACTGTGTAATAAATGAAGTTGTTTTTTGTAATTGTCCTCATGAGGATTTTAGGTCTTTGCCAGTTCAGATAGGCAAATAGTTCTTTTTAATGCATTGATTTATGTGAAAGAGGGGGCCAGGAGAATGAGAAACAGCTTCCCTGATGTAGAAGGACAAGATATTAATGCCTCACCAAATCTCCTGCCATAGGATTCCTTAGCTTTCCTATAGTAAATGGTATATTTTGAGGGGTATGATTGGCATTGCCCTGAAACACTATAAATTATACAAGTTATAAAATTATTACTGTTATTAAGTTATGAAACTGAAAAAATTCCCTGAAATTAATTGTCACAGCAAGAATATCAGTGAATTATTTCTTGATAGTGTAAATTGAAGATATTTATGCAGTGAACTATTGAACAAAAAAATGGATAATAGGCTGTCACTTGAGGATGGCTAACATATAATTTATGAGACAAGACAAGCACCTTTCTTTATAGCATACATATGTAGTCAGCTTACTTATCCTTTGCTAATTTTAAAGGTAAAGTGGATTTATGTTAATACATTTCCATATCCTTGCTTAACAATTTATAAAATGAGTATTCAGGAATATCAGGTTACCATACTGTGTGAAACAGAATGAACTGTTTACATATTGCATTCAGTTTGGGGGAAGTTGATAAATAACATGATGTGTATATGATTAAAATATTACTTTGTTTCTATGCAATGCTTTTTATACATTAAGAACTATTATAAAGCCAAATTTCATCTTCCTATTTTTTGAATTATTAGTGTAAAAACAACTTATTTCCACATAAAAAAATTAGGAAAATTTTTCTTTCCATTGAAAATAAGATGGGTAAGAATGAAAGCAATTGGAGTGCTTCATATATGAATATATTGTCTTACACATTTTTACTAAACTGCAGCAGCCGGGTAAACTTTTGTGAGATTTTTGTGAGCTGCTCGTTGGTTTCTTCACAACCAGGAGAATGAATGTATTACAAGTATATTTGTGTATATTAGAGGTGCTTAATAGTAGAAGGAAAAAAGAAGAAATGAAGTCTGAAGACAGTGTCGGTTATTTATACTATCTCAGTCTTCAGGCATATAAAAATTATACATGTACCCATTTCCAAGTTTATCCTCCACTGTTGTTCACTGTTGGAATATGGTAGGGAAGCTATAGATACAACAAAAATATGTCATTCATTTAACTGCTCATATATTCTCAAACCACCTGATTTCTACATTACTCCCCGCCATGGAGTTGTCCAAAAAGAAGATCCCCATACTGCATCTTGTATCATCATCTGCTTTAAGGACCAGTAGGAGTCTATCATTAAACAGAAAGAGATTGGGCTTTCTATTTAGTTCTTTACAGGGAGTAAGTTTTATAAGAAAATAAGACTTGTTTCTGTTGCCATAAAATCTGTGTTGCATTAAATATTTTCCATGTAGAATGGAAAGTGATAGAATATTCAGAGATAATATAAAAGTTTCAGAAACTGTTTGGACATATGAAAACTTAGCTAAACTGAGGCTGGAATGAAATAACTTTACTACATATATAGCTTAATAATAGCTCTAATTGATAAAAAGCCATTATAAACCAGTAAGAAAAAAAAAAGCTATCATATCCACTTAAAAAATGAAAAGATAATTTACCAAAAAAAAGTTAGTAGATATGAAAAGTACTATATGGTGACTAACATAAGAAAAGAAAAGAAGAGAAGAGAAAAAAAAAAAGTATTTAACTGCACTGTTGATCAAAGAAATGAAAAGTAAACAAAAATATACCAGTTTGATTTTTTAAATAAAGAAGCTGAGGCTCAGAGAGGTTATATGACTTGCCCTGGGTCATTAAGTTCAGTTAAGAAAGCCTAAATTTGAATGATTCCTGACTGTTCAGTGAGATTATGACTGATTTTTTTGCATTAATATTTTTGTCCATATTTTCTAAATTTTTAGCAATGAGCCAAAAAGATGGAAGGTTTTTCTGTTACAGAAGATGAACAAGACACTGAAACATTTTAGGCAACATTATATCCTTTCTAATAGTTGTTACTCATTTAAGGAGATACTGCATTTATCCACAGATTTTTTTTTTCCTCCATGCATGAGAATAAAATGGATAACATTAAACTTTAATTCATTTAGGATATACATTCTCACTAACTAGTTTCAATTAATTTAACTTTAATCATAACTGTAGATGAGGCCTGTATTTTTGTTTTATGTAGTATATGAATCAAAAAACAAAACAAGTCAATTATAATCTTAGAATGAAAATTTCACCTACATCCTGTCATTGTGCTTCTATTTGCAGATGGAGAACATCATTGGAACACTAAGGGATTCCAACCTGAAGCTGACACTTGCTTTTGGAATAGGAATGCATCATGCTGGACTACATGAGAGGGACCGAAAAACAGTAGAGGAGCTGTTCGTAAACTGTAAAGTTCAGGTATTTTATTTTTCATAAACAGATATTTAAATGTAACTTTAAAAGTTATATTTTAGTTAAATATATTTTATTTTCTAGGTTCTGATTGCTACAAGTACATTAGCCTGGGGTGTAAACTTTCCAGCTCATTTAGTAATTATTAAGGGAACAGAATATTATGATGGAAAAACAAGACGTTATGTGGATTTTCCCATTACAGGTAATTTTTAAAAAATTTACAGATACAGTAAGCTTCTATTTTAGCCTTAATCTGAATTTGCATGAATGGAATTGCAGAGAGTTGATCACATTTAACATATGTGATGAGCAAATTGTAAATTTTTGTTTCCAATGCAAATACTGTTCAAAGTATTGAGCCGTTTTATTTACTTTTATGAACCTAATTTGTTAATAAATATCAAAAGCATAACTAATGGTTTCAAATTCACAAATAGATATAAAGTACTGACTAATAGCTATTAGTGACTTAATAAATTATAGTTAAACATTATACCATTTAATTTTAAATCTGTTTCACTAGAAATACTTCCATGGCACTTCTAGAAACAAAGGGTTTGTTGCTTCAATGTGTCCATGAACATTCCTTTAACATATTTTAAAACTTGATAAAAGCATTATCAGTGAGTTCTGAAGAGGGAAATATACTGTGTGTATTTCCACTCAATGATTACATGTAAAAACTGTATTTCTAAATCCTTTTTTACCTCAGAGATTCCTGCAGTATAAAAGAAAGAACATTTATACCATAAGTGGGAAGAGGGTGAGGCCTAAATGGACTCATGGGGTCGATTCCTGGGGAAAAATAATCAAATTAATGTGCTGAAGAGATTTACCCATATATGTCTTACTTTTTCTCATTTAATTAAAATAGTAATAACTCTTTTCTTAAGATTTTGTTTATTTATTTGAGAGTGAGCACACACAAGCAGGGAGAAGGGCGGGGGAAAGGGAGAGAATCTCAAGCAGACTCTATGCTGAGGGTGGAACCCAACGTGGGTCTCAATCCTACCACCCTCAGATCGTGACCTGAACCAAAATGAAGAGTCAGATGCTTAACCAACTGAGCCACCCAGGGGCCCCTAGTAATAACTCTTAAACAGCATTTTTAAGCATTTAACTAAAGGAAACATCATTCTTACTTTTACAAACAGTAAGAGAGACCCTTTTCGGGGATTCAATTTCCTGTCAAAATGAATTGGTTATTTAATTATTAGGGAACTCAACAGTAGGCATCAGAGGTAATATGCACACTCTTAAAATATTCTGTATTCTTTGTTATTTTGTTGTGTTGTCAAACATGCTATAATCACTAAATATACCTTGTGCTATCTGCCACATTGTGGAATACCTCTTGTTCTCTTTTTTATAGATGTACTCCAGATGATGGGGCGTGCTGGGAGGCCTCAATTTGATGACCAAGGCAAAGCTGTAATTCTGGTTCATGACATAAAGAAGGATTTTTACAAAAAATTTCTTTATGAACCTTTCCCGGTAGAGTCAAGGTAAATTTTGCTATAAATTAATTTAAATGGATTCATGGCATAGCAAGTTAATATTTATCTCATGATATTTTATTAGATAAAAATCAGTAAAAGCTCTAATTCAAAAGAATTATTTGAAATGAAACTGAATTATCACTGTAAGACAGAATTCAATTATAATTTCATTTTTTAAAAACCTTTTAAAAGAAGCAGTGCCATGCAGTGTTGAATCACATGAACTCTGGAGCCAGATAACCTGGGTTCATATCTGAGCTCCACTACTTACTTCCTTGATCTTCAGCAAGTTACTTGATTCCTCAGTGCCTTAGTGCACCTATCTTTAAAGTGGAGATAATAGCAACACTAGCTATCTCATAGGTTACTTGTAATGATCAAATGTATAGTGCTTCTACCAGTGTCTATCCCATAGTAAGCATTTAATTAAGTGTTAGTTTGATGTGCGTTTTTGTACTATAGTTAATAAAGAAATATCCAAAATAAAGGGACTTGTAATGAATAATTTAGGCTACTGCCTTATTTCAGAATTATCACATACTTCTCCGTGGCCCAGTAAACTACCCCTTTGACAAAGGCTTCCCTCATTTTCTCAGTGGAAAATAGCCTTTCTCTCTCAGATTTATATATTTTTTATTTATAACTTTTGTTACTTGCTATCTTTTGTTCTTTTTTTTATTATGTTATGTTAATCACCATACATTACATCATTAGTTTTTGATGTAGTGTTCCATGTTTCATTGTTTGCATATAACACCCAGTGCTCCATGCAGTACGTGCCCTCTTTAATACCCATCACCAGGCTCACCCATCCCCCCAACCCCCTCCCCTCTAGAACTCTCAGTTTGTTTCTCAGAGTCCATAGTCTCTCATGGTTTGTCTCCCCCTCCGATTTCCCTCCCTTCGTTTTTCCCTTCCTGCTATCTTCTTCTTTTTTTTTTTTCCAACATATAATGTATTATTTGTTGTCTTTTTAATACACTGTATTCTAACTGCAAAAGACAACACGTTTCTAATTGACAGTGTAAATAGTTACTAGAGTTTTTATTATAAGTGCTCATGTTCCATTTTTTTAATTTAGAAAGTATAAAAACATGGATTCACTTAACACTGTGCTGAGAGAAAATTTATGATCCCATATATAATATATATGTATTATATATAAATATATATAATAAGATATATATATGTTTTAAAAGAAAGCATGAATGGGGTGACTGGGTGATAGACACTGGGGAGGGTATGTGCTCTGGTAAGCACTGTGAATTGTACAAGACTGTTGAATCTCAGATCTGTACCTCTGAAACAAATAATGCAATATATGTTAAGAAAAAAAATAAAGAAGAAGAAGAAGAAGAAGAAGGTAGCGGGAGGGGAAGAATGAAGCGGGGGAAATCGGAGGGGTAGACGAACCATGAGAGACGATGGACTCTGAAAAACAAACAGGGTTCTAGAGGGGAGGGGGGTGGGAGGATGGGTTAGCCTGGTGGTGGGTATTGAGGAGGGCACATTCTGCATGGAGCACTGGGTGTTGTGCACAAACAATGAATCATGGAACACTTCATCTAAAACTAATGATGTAATGTATGGGGATTAACATAAGAATAAAAAAAAAAAGAGACACACGAAAAAAAAAAAAGCATGAATAATCTAAATATCCATCTCAAAAATTTGGGAAAAAAATTAACAAATTGAACTCAAAAGAGAAGAGAAGAAAGATAAGAGCAAGAATCAAAGATCTGAAACCAAATATACATTAGAAAAACATCAAAAAGGCAAAAGTTGGTTTTTGAAAAGAATGAAATCGATAAACCTTTAAGTTTGATCAAAAATACAGAAAGAAAGAATGAACAAAATAATATTAGCAATGAAAAGATCACAGGCATTAAAAAGATATTATGAAAAACATTATGTAAGTAATTTTAAAATTTAGATCAAATGGTAAAATACATCAAAAAACTTATCAAACTGAAGGTTGCTGGAGTGGTGGGGGGTAGGAGGGATGGGGTGGCTGGGTGATAGACATTGGGGAGAGTATGTGCTATGGTGAGCGCTGTGATTTGTGTAAGACTGATGAGTCACAGACCTGTACCTCTAAAACAAATAATACATTGTATGTTTAAAATAAAAAAAAAAAGAAGATAGTGGGAAGGAAAATGAAGGGAGCGGAAATCAGAGGGGGAGACAAACCATGAGAGACTATGGACTCTGAGAAACAAACTGAGGGTTTTAGAGGGGAGGGTGTGGGGGGATGGGTCAGCCCAGTGGTGGCTGTTAAGGAGGGCATGTATTGCATGGAGCACGGGGTGTTATACGCAGTGAATCATGGAACACTACATCAAAAACTAATGATGTAATGTATGGTGACTAACATAATAAAATTAATTAAAAAATAAATAAATAAAAAGAAAAAAACTTATCAAACTGACATAAAAGAAATAGAAAATCTAAATGATCTCTTATTTATCAAAGCAATTGAATCTAAAACTTAAAATCTTGCCATAAAGAAATCTTCGGACTCAGATGCTTTACTAGTGAATTCTTCATAACATTAAGGGTGAAGTAACATCAGTCTTAGATGAACTTTTCTTAATAGTAGAAAAGATAAGACTATTTGCCAACTTATTTATAAGATCAGAGTAACCATGATACCAAAACCTGATAAGAAATTTACCAAAAAGGAACATTAACAAACCTGTAACTTTCATGAATATAAATATAGAAATCCTAAACAAAACATTAGTAAATCAAATTATGTATAATTTATTTTATAAATGTGAAATTGATTTATTATTTGAAAATAAATTATTATAAATTACTATAATTTACTACATTAGCAGGAAAAGATGAGAAAATCATGATTATTTCATAGATTTAAAAAAAAGTATTTGAAAAAATTCTACACCAATTTATAATAAAAATCTTAGCAAACAGGAATATAAGGAAATGTCCTTAATCTGATAAAGAGTAAATCTACTGCAAACATCGTAAGTAATAATGAAATAGTGAAAAGTTCTCCCTTTGAGATAGGGAATGATACAAGAATATTGTTCTCCCCACTTCCAGTAAGCATTGTACTAGAAGCCCAAGCCACTGCAATAAGGTAAGGAACAGAAATAAGTCAGAATATTCTTTTGAACAACGGTAGTGACTAAGCAGCACAAAAGGAGGGCTTCTGGGGAACTGGAAATACTTGATCTTAGTGTTGGTTACACAGATGTGTTCACACTGCGAAAATTACTTGAGTTGTACATGTATGATTTATGTAATTTTCTATATGTATATTTCAGTAGTCAACTAAAAATTTTAATTTTGTACCTTACTATGACTATTATTAATACTTACCTATCATGGAGTATTCCATAATGTACATATTAACTTCTCTATTAATGGGCCTTTCGAGAGTTTCCTATTTTTTTTTCTTACAGATAATGTTGCAGTGAAGTAATTTGCTTCCCTACCCTCATCTATAAATGTTTCTCTGGCAGGTGATAGTGAAAAGTGAAATTGCTGCATCATAGAGATCATTCAGATAGATATTGCCAAGTTGCCCTCCCAATTGAGTATACAGATTTATACTCTGCTACTGATGAATTGAGAGTAATATAGAAACTTGTGTTGTTATTTTTGTAATCATATAATTTATTACCATTTTCTCATGTTCTTAAACATCCTTTGCAAAACCTATTTTTAATACCAGTGTATTGTCCCACATACCATAATTTATTTAGGTTTTCTTTTGTTGGACACTGCTTCCCCTTTTTTTTGCATTTTACATAAGAAACTAAAATGAACATTATGTTATACTAGTCTTTCAACACATCTGATCATCTTTGAATACTCTGCAACACCTAGCACAATTATGTTTCATATCACTAGGAACTTAATACTCACTGAATAAATGAAAGGAATATATATCTTTACTCTCTCATAACTGTCATTCCTTTCCTGCCAACTCTCCTTTCATCAGCCTCAATACTATTCCAGTACCCCATAAGTATACTCTTCCCTACTCTCTAAGTCTTCTGTTGCCCACTCTTACCTTTCTCCTTTTGGCTGTCATCTTCTCCTGAAAGTTACTAGCCCCATTCCGTCAGCCTGCTATATGAGATAAAGTGTGTTTCATTTAATGTTCATGTATGTTTCCCATGTCTTGTTCACTATATAGCTTATTGGGAGTGCTCTCTGACCATTTAAATGCAGAGATTGCTGGTGGTACAATTACATCTAAGCAAGATGCAATGGATTATATTACCTGGACCTACTTTTTCCGACGTCTTATCATGAACCCCAGGTAAGTGCAGGGCAGCTGTTATCATTCTGTTTCACACTGAACGAAATTATGTTTGAAAGTAATAATCCCTGAATTTCAGTACCTAACAAAAAAGTCAGAACTTTGGGCATTCTAGGTATATGAATTTTCCCAGAGAATCACATGATTATCTCTGATATCACAATATATTATGATATATTTGAAAATGAATAATGGTATGCATTTATTCCTTAGCTTATTTTCGTTAACTTAGGATATCCTTGAGGAGTTTGCTCTGTAGTAAGAGAGACAGGACACCTGAATTCATTAAGAAATGTGCTAAACTAGATGGTAGTTACTGCCTTAGGTGCACCTGGAATTCAGAGAAGAGTGAGGCTTGTGCAGTTATAGAGGGAAGACTTTGTCAGGCATCTGTAATGGTTAATAAGAACCCTGCAGGAGGAAATAAAATTAGGGGAGTTGTGGTGGAGTATCTTTTATTTTCAGGCAGTATAGGTAGATCTTCTTCATTGAGCACCTATTTTTCAAACGTTATGTAGATTTTGAGGGTAAAAAATTAGTGTACCTTATCCCCTATCTTCAGTGGCTGATCTTTTAATGTGGGAAAAAGATTACAATGTAAATCATAAGTGCTCTAATAGAACTGTATTAAGCCTATGAGAGTAAAATCTTCAGAGAGGTGATACTTCAATTTTGAATTGAAGTAGAAAATTGAAGTAGAAAAGGTAAGAGGCACAAAAATACTATATGGACGGGGGAGGGGAAAGATGGCGGAGGAGTAGGGGACCCTATTTCAACTGGTCCCCGGAATTGAGCTGGATAACTACCAGACCACTCTGAGCACCCACAAAACCAGCCTGAGATGTAAGAAGATCTGGATCTCTACAAACAGAATATCGCAGGCAGTTGGTTTTGAGGTACGAAGCGGAGAGCCGTGATCCTGCGGGCAGATACCAGAGGATAAACGGCAGCGGGAGGGTGCCTGACTGTGGGGATCCTACACCACTGTTGAGTGACAGCCTCACGCGCTGCGGATGGGCACAGACTTGCAGACCGGTAGCATCAGGAAAGGACTTTAGAGCAGCCCCGGGGTGGAAAATCAGACCGGCGGGGTCGCGTGCACGCGAACCACAGCCGCCCAGACAGAAACCCAGAGCAACGGTCACGCGCACGTGAACTGCAGGGTCTAGCATGCGAACTGGGAGCTGCTGGCGGTTTTAGAAGCACAAAGGGCAGAGACGTGCCCGACCTGGAGGCAGGACAGGGAGCACTGTGGAGGGGCGCACAACCCAGGACGCTGCAGTATATAGCAGCACGGACAGAAACGGAGACGGTGTGGCCTGGAGAGCGCACTGAAGAACAGACTGAGGTCTCTCTGCTCTGAGGCGCAGAGGGTTGGAAACGGTCTCTTCTGCTCTGACTCCCGGAAGAGACGCGGAAAGCCGCCAGGGAAAGGCGCCAGAGAACAAAAGCCCCAAAGACTGATTCCCACTGAGCCCATCCCCCGCCACAGGGGCGCAGGGCAACTCCGCCCAAACAGGGTTGCCTGAGTAACAGCGCGGCAAGCCCCTCCCCCAGAAGACAGGCTGGAAAACAAGAGGCCAGAAACCCTAAGGTCCCAAGAAAACAGGTGCATCTTGCTTGGTCTGGTCAATAATTTTGACTCTATACATTCCCTCAAACACCCATCAACAGAATGACTAGGAGGAGGAGCCCCCAAAGCAGAAAAGACTCAGAGATTATGACTTATGCTGCAGATTTACAAATGGATGCAGACCTAACCAAGATGTCAGAGATGGAATTCAGGCTAGCAATTGTGAAGACAATGGCTAGAATGGAGAAATCAATTAATGGCAACATAGAGTCTCTAAGGGCAGAAATAAAAGGGGAATTGGCAGAACTTAAAAATGCTATCAATGAGATCCAATCCAATCTCGATAATCTAACAGCTAGCGTAACTGAGACAGAAGAGAGAATAAGCAACCTGGAAGACAATACAATAGATAAAAAGGGAAAAGAGGAGGCCAGGGGAAAACAACTCAGAATCCATGAAAATAGAATCAGAGAAATAAGTTGACACCATGAGGCGTTCCAATGTCAGAATCATTGGAATCCCGGAGGGAGTGGAGAGAGAGAGGGCTAGAAGATGTATTTGAGCAAATCGTAGCTGAGAACTTCCCTAATCTGGGGAATGAAACAAACATTCGAGTCCTAGAGGCAGAGAGGACCCCTCCTAAGATCAAGGAAAACAGGCCAACACTCCAGCATGCAATAGTAAAAACTTGCAAATCTTAGAACCAAGGAAACCGTCTTAAGGGCAGTTAGGGGGAAGAGATTCCTTACGTACAGAGGGAGGAACATCAGAATAACGTCAGACCTATCCAGAGAGACCTGGCAAGCCAGAAAGGCCTGGCAAGACATATTCAGGATACTAAATGAGAAAAACATGCAGCCAAGAATACTTTATCCGGCAAGGCTTTCATTTAGAATGGATGGAGAGATGCAGAGCTTCCACGACTGGCAGAAGTTGGAAGAATATGTGACCACTAAGCCGGCCCTGCAAGAAATATTAAGGGGGGTTCTATAAAAGGAGAAAGACCCCAAGAGTGATCTACAACAGAAATTTACAGGGACAATCTATAAAAACAACGTCTTCACAGGCAACATGATGACAATTAATTCATATCTTTCAATAATCACTCTCAACGTGAATGGCCTAAATGCTCCCATAAAACGGCACAAGGTTGCAGATTGGATAAAAAGACAGGACCCATCCATATGCTGTCTACAAGAGACTCATTTTGAACCTAAAGATACATCCAGACTGAAAGCGAAGGGATGGAGATCCATCTTCCATGCCAGCGGACCTCAAAAGAAAGCTGGGGTAGCAATTCTTATATCAGACAAATTAGATTTTAAACTAAAGTCTGTAATAAGAGACACAGAAGGACACTATATCATTCTTAAAGGGTCTATCCAACAAGAAGATCTAACAGTTGTAAATATCTGTGCCCCCAACATGGGAGCAGCCATCTACATAAGCCAACTGTTAACCAAAATAAAGAGTCATATTGATAACAATACGTTAATTGTAGGAGACCTCAATACTCCACTCTCAGCAATGGACAGATCATCTAAGCAGAAAATCAACAAGGAAACAAGAGCTTTGAATGCTACATTGGACCAGATGGACCTCCTAGATATTTACAGAACATTCCACCCTAAAACAACAGAATACTCATTCTTCTCGAGCACACATGGAACTTTCTCCAGAATAGACCATATACTGGGTCACAAATCAGGTCTCAACCGATACCAAAAGATTGAGATTATTCCCTGCATATTCTCAGACCACAATGCTCTAAAACTGGAACTCAATCACAAGAAAAAATTTGGCAGAAATTCAAACACTTGGAAGCTAAAGAGCACTCTGCTCAAGAATGTTTGGGTCAACCAAGAAATCAAAGAAGAACTTAAACAATTCATGGAAATCAATGAGAACGAAAACACATCGGTCCAAAACCTATGGGATACTACAAAGGCGGTCCTAAGGGGGAAATACAGAGCCATTCAAGCCTCACTCAAAAAAATAGAAAAATCCCAAATTCACCAACTAACTCTACACCTTAAAGAACTAGAGAAAAAGCAACAAACGACGCCTAAGCCATGCATTAGAAGAGAAATAATTAAAATTAGAGCAGAAATCAATGAATTAGAAACCAGAAACACAGTAGATCAGATCAACAAAACTAGAAGTTGGTTCTTTGAAAGAATTAATAAGATTGATAAACCACTGGCCAGACTTATCCAAAAGAAGAGAGAAAGGACCCAAATTAATAAAATTATGAATGAAAGGGGAGAGATCCCGACTAACACCAAGGAAATAGAAACAATTATTAGAAATTGTTATCGACAACTATATGCCAATAAACTGAGCAATCTGGATGAAATGGAGGCCTTCCTGGAAACCTATAAGCTGCCAAGACTGAAACAGGAAAAAATGGGCAACCTGAATAGGCCAATAACCAGTAACGAGATTGAAGCAGTGATCAAAAACCTCCCAAAAAACAAGAGTCCAGGGCCTGATGGATTCCCTGGGGAATTCTACCAAACATTCAAAGAAGAAATAATACCTATTCTACTGAAGCTGTTTCAAAAAGTAGAAACAGAAGGAAAACTTCCAAACTCATTCTATGAGGCCAGCATTACCTTAATCCCCAAACCAGGCAAAGACCCCATCAAAAAGGAGAATTTCAGACCTATATCCCTGATGAATACGGATTCCAAAATCCTCAACAAAATCCTAGCTAATAGGATCCAACAATACATTAAAAGGATCATCCACCACGACCAAGTGGGATTTATCCCCGGGATGCAAGGGTGGTTCAACATTCGCAAATCAATCACTGTGATAGAACACATTAATAAGAGGAGGGAGAAGAACCATATGGTCCTCTCAATTGATGCAGAAAAAGCATTTGACAAAATACAACATCCTTTCCTGATTAAAACTCTCCAGAGTATAGGGATAGAGGGAACATTCCTCAAGCTCATAAAATCCATCTATGAAAAACCCACAGCAAATATCATCCTCAATGGGGAAAAGCTGAGAGCCTTTCCCTTAAGATCAGGAACACGTCAAGGGTGCCCACTCTCACCACTGTTGTTCAACATAGCACTAGAAGTCCTAGCAACAGCAATCAGACAACAAAAAGAAATAAAAGGTATTCAAATTGGCAAAGAAGAAGTCAAACTCTCTCTTTTCACAGACGACATGATACTTTATGTGGAAAACCCAAAAGACTCCACCCCCAAATTACTAGAACTCATCCAGCAATTCAGTAATGTGGCAGGATGCAAAATCAATGCACAGAAATCAGTTGCTTTCTTATACACTAACAACGCAACTGTAGAAAGAGAAATGAAAGAAACGATTCCATTTACAATAGCACCAAAAACCGTAAGATACCTCGGAATAAACCTAACCAAAGAGGTAAAGGATCTATACTCTAGGAACTACA